CTTGTATCTGGCTGCATGCCGCGCTATTGCCATATGCTATTATTGTTTCCTAAAAAGGGTTGTTTTTCTTCTTTTTTAATATTAAAAGTAAGAAAATTAACGAAATAAAATTATTTTTGACATATTATTATTTTTTTTGTTATTTTTAACTATTTATTAAATAATTATAATCGTTCTCTTCTGATTTAAAACAACCTTGTTTCTTTTTCTCTGATCAGAATATAATTTGTCATCCTTGTCTCCAGCCCAAGCAACAATTTAAGTATTTGTTACGTATATGGGACTATTGAAGAAACTTCAAAGTGTTTTGCGACAGTCGCCGGTCTCTTTATATTACTCTTTCATTACTACGTTACGACTAAAGTGGGGAACAATTATTGAGTTCCAAAAAGGTAGCAAATATGTCACTAGCTACCAACCCTGCTACTATTTGGGACGTAGCTGCTACGTTACTAGAACGTTCCAATATCGTTGCTAGAGCGTTATAATTACTTTTATTATTTGTTTTTACTTCTATATTAACTGTCTTTGTCAAACTTATATTAGATTATACTATCCCTCCTTTTTTAAATGGAACCACTACGGACTTGGCTTTTCAATGTCGTCGTTTATTAAATATGTACTGGTAGTTTATAACTTCCAGAATAACAATATAATATTTAATTAGACAGGTAGATTTATAAACCCTTTAAATTTTACTGTTGAACTTATGAATTTAGTTTTTGTAAAATAAATGCGCTTCATCAATATTTAAGTATAAACAAATTATTTATTTAGTAATGTTTATAAATAAAAAAATCTTAATATTTATTATTATTTTTTTTATTTAATTATTAATACCGTCTATTACCAACAATATTTCTATTTATTAAAAAGTAAACAACCATTTACAAGCAATTAAAATAATTTATTATTTACATTACCACGTGGTACTGTACAGTAAAAAATGGCCGATAAGAAGCATTTTCCTTTGAAGTAGTTTTCGCTACTTTAAAGTTTTTTTCCACTTTACGGTTGTTTTGGTTAGTACCATAAACGTTCCAAATACTAAAATAATAACTTTTAAGTTATTAACTTTGTAGTTTTCAACTCATGTTCCAGTTTCGAGATTTTAACTTGCAAAGGGACTACAAAGTAAAAATAATTATAATGTAATCTTTAGGTAGCAACCGAAAGTAACTGCTACAAATTAAATTTACTTGAAAGTTTTTTTTACTTATAACATCTTTTTTAAAGTTGCAAAGTCTTCTTGGGGGCAACCAAGTTTTACTTAAATGTTTATTACTTTATAGTAACAATTTAAGGAAAAATTAAGTTTCTGTTACAAAATATTGCTATTTAAAAGTTAGAATTACTTTTAAGTAAAAATTAAAGTAGCTGTTTAGTATACTTAACTAATTTAAAGTTATCACCACTTTGGCAATGGTTTTTGGAACCAAAAATGCTGCTTGGGAGCTTTACTTACTTGATTCTATACAGTCTGTATACCGATAATTTTTATAAAAGCGCTGTTGTTTATAGTTTGTACGACAGTAATCTTTCATTAACAAACTGTCAATTTCGTAAAATCGCACCAAAACTAAAAATTACAACCATACAAAAAAGCCTTCTTATTTTCATGATCTTTTAATCATATTGTCATTTTTCTCAATTATTTCGGACCACACGGGTTGTCACATAATCTGCTTAGGTCCGTTAATACTGTGTCGGTTTTTTTCGCAAATTACAAAAACGGTACCCATGGCAAGGAAATGTATACATGTCCGATAATCTGCTTACTGTACCTTTTATTCCATTAGAACTGGTGTACTTTAAGATTATACCATTGAAAGTTTAGGATGTGCTTGCTGTTTACGATAAATAAACTCAGATGTTTGCCACAAATTCAAATACTTAGATTTGATGTACCAAAGGAATAAGCCGGGTAAATAAGATAGATATACCTAGGTAACAACAGTCCATGTAGAAAAATTCTGGTTTAAGAAATATTTACAAGTTAGAGATCTTTTTTGACAACCAGTAAACCACTTAAGATTTGTAAGCTATTAATTTTTTTTTTCTAATAAAGCCAGCGGTATAGTAAAAGACAATTAACAATCTGATTGGTCTAATCTAAAAAGCTTTTTGACATATTTTTTAGAATATTGATTTGGTACAGGAGGAGGCATATATTCTTAAAATCTTTTGTCAGTTTACCCTGTATACTAAATCATCAACAAATACAATATATATTAAGGTCTCATTATTTGTGGTATCGCATTTTTTGTGCAAAACTGATAATCATCATCCAACCAAATAACATACTAAGGACCAAGGTACTTGAGTTTTTATACAGGATATTTCCTAAAAGGATTTGGTTTGGCCAAAGATGTTGTTTAATTGCACTAAACGGCTTAAAAGTTGGAAATCTTTTCTGCCCACATTATAGACCAATCAACAAAGGATTTAAAAAATCCTTTACATCTGTGTTAGTTTTCGAAACCAAACGACATCGGTAACAATAACAGAAGGTTTCAAGATTCCAAGCACAGTAGTTAAAAAATAAATAAAAATGTCACAAAAATATAGTATTCTTAAGTTGTCCAGCTAAGAATTATATTTTAGCACTGTGCAGTCATTCAAAAAAGATTAACCCATCCGTAAAGAACTTACATTTTGGTGTGACATGTTCATAATAACTTGATGTCATTTTAAAAACCGGTAAAAACATGTTGAACCAATCTTGTTGTACCTCTCCAAATTATACCATCTCAAAAAAAAGTTACAGATTTTTGTAATTACCTTTTTATACATACTTAATTAAGTCAATATTAAATAGTTGAAAGTTTTTCTAAATCCTTTAATAAAAATTTATATTATACCTATAGGTATTTACCTAGACTTGACTAAAAAATAATAATAAAACAAATATTTTATATTTTGTCACTTTTTACTGTAAACGTTTTTAAAAACACTATTTTAAAATCGACCTGCAAACATAAATTAAATCATAGATTATGTGAAAAAAGGCAGATGTCACATTACACACGCAATTTGTAATTCAAAGGATCACATTACATATGGAAACATTAGTACAGAAATCGTAAATAAATAAATAGAAACGGTTTACCTATGGAGCCTAGAGGAGTTTTCAATAAAAAGGGCAATGACAAAAATAAATTACAAATTAAATATCTGTTGATTCACAGTGTTAAACATTAATAAATTTACTATAAATTATGTCACTATGATCCTAATGAAACACCAGTTATAGGTATTAATCAAACGACACTGTATATCAAGTATTTTTATCATACACATTATGTACACAACTTCCTTTTCCTAATAAATATAATCTCGAAGACGTTTCAAATGACGAATGAATTCGACAAAAAATTATGTGTGCTTTTTGATAATTGGACACAAGTAATCCTTCATGTGCGCAATGATTGATTACATGTCCCGACAGGTCGGGATAACACAATAAATAATAAAGAATTTAACATTTCGTTGCCAGTCAACATTTCAAGATTGATTGCATGTTGGGACTTGACTGTTGACAACAATAACACGTTAAATATTCCTTTTAAGGCGCGGCATGAGTTAAAAAACACAATAAACAACCTAAATAATGTTAATGGTATGTTAAACTTACGTTTTTTGATGCACAAACACTTACAAAACACAATTTTAATACACAATCGAACTGTCATCTTCACCAAGCATAGCCAACTTTATAAAACATAAAAAAGAAACCTGTAATACCGTTCGCGTAGTTCTTCTACCAAAACATAGATGGGGCGTAATTTAAATAAAGTTTTCATATTTTGCTATTTATTTCTTGTTTTTACAAATGTAAGGTGGGGTTTAGGGTAAATTATTTAAAAAAACACAATAAACAACCTAATGTTATGTTAAACTCAAGTTTTTTAATGCACAAACACTTAAAAAAACACAATTTTATTACACACTCGAACTGTCATCTTCACCAAGCATAGCCAACTTTATAAAACATAATAAAGAAACCTGTAATACCGTTCGCGTAGTTCCACTACCAAAACATAGATGGGGCGTGATTTAAATAAAGTTTTCGTATTTTGCTATTTATTTTTTGTTTTTACTAGTGTAAGGTGGGGTTTGCGGTTTATTTTAATTTATTTTAACGTTTTTGGATATGTGTTCCTGTTACACGGATGTCTGATAGTCAATAAATACTGAGATTTGCTTGGACTTTTTGATAATAATTATATACCTACCCAACTATAAGTGGGTTCAATTTAAATAACATTTATTAAAACTTGTTTACAATATTTTCTTATCAGTTTTGCTATTAACTAATTAGTTGGTTGAAACCTAAGTACCTAGGTACTTGGTCAATAATAAATATAAATATTTATGGGTAAGTACCTCCATATTATGTAGTTTAATTATTATTGTTAGGGTATTGGTAATTGGTAACTAGGTATATTAAACTAATGATTTCATAAAAAATTATGATTGTTTGGAGTTTATTTAGAAGTTTTTTTAATAAATTATTTTATAATACAACTTAATTACCCAAATAGCGTTTTTTCCAGGATATTAGGTGCCCAAAACACAGAATTTTAATCATGATGGGTAGATAAATTAATCTATATTGGTTTTAACGTTAAAATTATTAATTTTCTTATCTATTTATCGAAAAATATCCCGAAAATAATAAAATTGTTCAAAAAGAACGATCTTTATCGAAGTTGACCAACGACTTAACACGAATAGACGTATTTGTTTGCTATGTTGCCAAATATACTTAAAAATCGTGAAACCTTGGAAAATCAACGTTTTATTGTTGCAAAAATGACTAAAGACTGCACCAACCGACCTATAAAAGTAAAAATTAAATTAAAATTACCCATTTTAAAGATACAAAGACTCCAAAATGTACAAAAAAAGCAAAATTAACAATTTCGTGTTTACATTTGTAATGTGCATTTTTTTACGGTGGAATCTTGACAACGTCGCTTTTGAATGTTAGTTTTCAGAAAGAGTCGGGCGAGAGCGCTTTGTGGCAAAGGCTGTGGTTTTTAGCTGCCGCATTTAGTCCTGTCAAAAACCAAAAACACCGGTTAAGTTTAAAAAAATCAATCGATCTGTGATAATATCCACAATTTAATTCGCGTTAAAACGTACAATTCGCGGCAACAGCGCGAAACAAATGAAGCTGACACACGATTTGACAGTTACAACCCCTTGTCAGTGATTGCCTTTTGTTTTTTTGGTGTTTGTGAGGTTTTTAAGTTGTTTTGTGCGTATCTCCAGTAAAATTAAGTGTTTCGCATTAAAATAGTGGTTATTTTATTCATAAATCGAGGTAATTTTGCTTGCATTGCGAAGTTTTGTTGTTAGGGGTTTCCTAACCTATTTGACATTGTTAATTTTGTTCACTGTATCGTGTTTTGTTTATTTCAAGGTGTTCTGCGAACGATGTTAGTTCCTTGCAATTGATTGGTTGTTTTGTTTTTCATTTGAGTTTTATTAATCTGCGGTTATTTATTGATATTGGCGCGGTTAATTCGGCCTTACAGCACAGGGGCGTACTAAGGATAATTTATTTCTTACAGGAGTGTCAAGAAAATTCAAAAATAAAAAGCCATTAAAAAATTGCTTTATACAAATAAATAGCCGTATAATATTAAAATAATAATAATAAAACAAAACTTATTTTTAACATTTAACTAAATTTTAATTTTCTTTTTTTCAGTGTAAAAAATCCGAAAGTCCAAAATGCTGAGCGGCATCGTAAAACACTACCTACACTGTCTTTTGTTTTTCACCATAATCATCGCCTTCGAGATTTACAGCGGAGGCATCAAATTAGGGGACAGCGGCTTTTTCGTGCCGAACAGCGACATTGACCCGTGGATCGCCTACGGCTTTATCGGGACGTGCGTGCTTTACGCCCTGCGACTAGTGACTTTTTTGCCTTTGCCGCAAGTTTTGTTTAATTTTGTCGGTTTGACGTATTATAACGCTTTTCCGGACAAAGTAGTGCTTAAAGGTGAGAAATATTTACATATTTTATCAATATTTTGGGCAAATCAACTTTGACGTTTTAAATGTCATTGGGTATAAGCCGGTAAAACAGATTCCTAACAACCAATTTTGGTTTTCTAATATGCAAATATTTAATTTAATTAGTTATAAATTATTTTTTATAATACTATTTGACATAAAAAAGTATAGTTTAACTTGATTTTAATCTTTTTTAGAAATTCATTTTTAATAAAATTAAATTTCGTGTCTAAACTGTCGTAAGAATGACTAATAATTTTAAATAATTATGTCATACCTATGTAATTCTAAATTAAAAAAAAACTATTTTATGAAAAATGTATACCTAAACTTGGCACATTTTAAAAATTATGCAACAGATTAATATTGTTTTATTTTTAAACTTTCACAATTAAAGGTATAATTTTTTAAAAGCATCAAGTATATTATAAATAAATATTGGACAGATGATTTTAAAATTACTTGTGAAGGTTTACAAATGTAAAAATCGTCCAATGCTGCCAAAAAGATTATTTTTAAGTCCAACACTTTATAATAGTTATAGATATACCTAATAGTTACATGGTGATATTAAATGTATAATAAAATTTGTCGCGTAGACTTTTTTATATTAATCTGTGTACGCAAGGTCACTAATAATTATAGTGATATCAATACATAGTACAGATAAATTTTCTATTTTTATATAGTTTAACCATAATCTAAATGGAAAGAACGATAACATTTTTATTTCTTTGAAGTAGTGATACTGAATTCATGAAACAATCTGTCAAAATAGCATTTTTTTTAAATTCGATAATAAAGGTTTTTTAACACTATGCATAATATATTATATTTCAAACAATAAATTCATTGTTAAAAAACTGATTCATTTAATTTGTATACGTAGTATAAAATAAATGAGTAACGACTTGATATAAATAATTAATATTATAATTAATTAATAATTAAATTTTTCTATTGTTTGTATATGTATGTATACGTATTATTCATCTGCACAACACTGTTCGAGAACAGCCATAAAAATCTTACTTATTTCTTAGGGTCTCCCCTTTTGGCCCCCTTTATCTGCATAAGGGTGGTGACGAGGGGGGACTTCCCCCAACTGGTGAAAAACAACGTTACCAAGAACATGAACAAATGCCTGGACGCGGGCCTGGAAAATTTCCTGATAGAAGTCGTTACGGACAAGGCTATAAATCTGGAAAGCCATAGGCGTATTAGGGAAATTGTGGTGCCCCCCTCGTACAGGACCAAAACGGGGGCCCTGTTCAAAGCCAGGGCGCTGCAGTATTGTTTGGAGGACAAAATCAATATTTTAAGGTAGGTTTTTATTTTAATTTTGTTTTTAAAATATAATCTTTTTTTAAATATTTAATTTATATTTAATGTTTTTTAATTTGCATAAATTTTAGAAAATTTACTAACTGGGTAATTTGTTTAAATAAATTTAAATATTTTAAAGATAACTTTCATTAGTATAAAATTATCATTCATTAACAAAAAACTAGATTTCGTTTAAATAAATCGAAATGTAAAATTTTGTAAACTATATTGTATACGTTTTTTCACCACAATGGTATTCATATTGTTCATATTATTACAGAAATGCTAAACATTATTAAATTTTTCATTCACAGCTGAAATTTTTCATATTTAAAAAAAAATTATATTTGTGGAAAAATCTCACAGTAGCATAAAATTAAAAAATGGTTGGAAAAATTCGCACTGTGGTTCAAAATTCTAAAATAGTGGAAAAAATCGCACAGTAGCATAAAATTAAAAAATGGTGGGAAAAAATAGCACAGTGGTTCAAAATTAAAAAATGGTGGAAAAATTTTGCACAATTTTAAATTTTGCAAAATTTTAACTTTTTAAATGTTTAAAATTTATTAAATATAAATTTTTCGTATTTTCATTATTTCGCAATAAATAACCTCCAATGGCATCTATACACTCCCAATGACATACTAAATTGAAGATCCACCATTGACTTAAAACTTTACAACAAAAAAATATTTTCTCTTTTTTAGCAATTGTGTTATAAAATGTAATTTTACCTTATTTTTATTTATTTAATTAAAGCGACAATGATTGGGTAGTCCATCTGGATGAAGAAACTTTACTAACGGAAAACTCCGTGAAAGGAATTTTAAATTTCGTAGTGGACGGAAAACACCACTTTGGACAGGGTAAAAATACACGCCAATTTAATTTTACATTAATAAAATTATTTTGTTGCATCTTAATTGACAGGTCTTATCACGTACGCCAATGAAAACATCGTCAATTGGTTGACAACATTGGCGGACTCGTTCAGGGTTACAGACGACATGGGAAAATTAAAATTACAGTTTTTGATGTTCCACAAACCGTTATTCAGTTGGAAGGGAAGCTATGTTGTAACACAGGTAAGAACAAAAAATATAATTACCAAAGTTATTCTATATTTCAGCAAAACTATTTAAAAATACCGAGTACGCCCCTGACATTTTCAAAAGTTCAAAAATTTTATTATTGAAAACAATTATGATAAGATAAAATACTTAAAAGTTTTAAAACATTCGAAAATTTACTATTCCAGTCAAGCTTGATATTCATTGTAAAAAGTTTACCTTATCATGTTTTTTTCTTGAATAATTAACTGTAATTAGGCTGGCAATTTAATATCAAGGGCACGCGTGTTTTGCAGCTTGTGTTTTTATCATAAAACAAATATTTGGGGGAAAACAATAAATAACAATAACAGTACTTTTTTAATTTAAAGTTATGTATTTAACATTTTCTAGAAATCTTCTTTGCCGACAAAAATTTGGGAGTCTCTAAACGTCTTAAAAACATTTAAATTAAATTAGATTTTAAGTGAAAAATCATGTTTTTCTTAATTAACATTTAGCCCACACCTAAAATTAGCGTAAATTTTAACGCATTAAACGTAATTACGACTTTGTCACACCACAAGTAAAAATTCACCATACCAATTAACAATTCTTATTCAACCATTCCTTGATTAAACACAACTTCAATTAAAAAAAAAACGATTATTCAACAGTTGTGATTCTAAATAAACGTGGGATTACGAAATCCAATCTTATCTTTACGTTAGTAATTCATCCTGATTACTAATTAGGTACTTAAATAAGATATGAAATGAGTAATATTTACTTGACACTATTGTGAGTTTTCGATATTCAGGCAAAACTATTTTTTTATGTTTTGAAAGTTTATTTCAACACCTAGTTAAAGTCTTATAAGCTGTATACAGCTACATTGGTTGCATTAAGAAAGAAAAATAAACTTTAATACTGGGAGAATTATTTTTAACTCTTAAATATTTATTTAAATCTAATAATTAAGTACCTACTAAAGTATTAATAATTTATCAATAATCACTCCAGGTAAATATGTACCTATCCCATATCTTTTGTAATTTTTATTATGTAGCACAAGTACAAATCGATAAAATTCATTATATTAAATTCAAGCAATGAAATTACCACATATATTGGTTGACCTGCAATGACTTTGGTATTGATTTTTTTAATGCGGTAAAATTTACTATTTTCGTCATACTGTGAAATATATCACCTGGAATGACGGGCCTAAATTTTATTGTTACGACCTATTTTACTTACGCAATTAATCAAAGGGGAAAAACAATAACAATATGTATTTTATGTATATACAGGATGTTATGTAAATAATCTAACATTAATAGAAATCATAGAATAAATAAATACGTTATTGGATAAGTTATTTATTCTTTTTGAAGGTGGCAGCTGAAAAAGCTGTTTCTTTTGACAACGGTCTAGATGGATCCATAGCTGAAGATTGCTTTTTTGCGATGAAAGCCTACAGCCTAGGCTACAGCTTTAACTTTATACAAGGTAACCTCAAAACTGTATATTTTTGTGTCGAAAAAGTTTTGGGTTTGAGCTTAAATAATAAACATTCTCTTGCAGGTGAAATGTGGGAAAAGTCGCCCTTTACTCTCTGGGACTTCATACAACAAAGAAAAAGGTGGATTCAAGGGATTTTACTGGTGGTACATTCAAAATCGATACCGCTTAAAAACAAGTTACTTCTTGGGTGCAGCTGCTATTCGTGGCTCACTCTACCCCTATCAGTTTCAAACTTAATATTAGCTTCAAAATTCCCGATTCCCTGTAACCCAATAATCGACTTCCTGTGCGCTTTTACTGCCGCCGTAAATATATACATGTACGTTTTTGGCGTTATTAAATCGTTCACAATGGTTCGTTACGGCCCTGTTAAATTGATACTTTACTTATCCAGCCTCATTCTCGTGATACCCTTTAACTTAGTCATTGAGAATATCGCCGTTATTTGGGGTATATTCGGGGTAAAACACAAATTCTACGTGGTCAATAAAAACATCGGACCATCGATTACAGTTTAATTTTTTCGTTTTTTGTACATACGTATTTATTTTGCCGCCTTTTCGTTTATGCACCTTGGTGCAATCCAAGATGCTAGGTCTCGTTTTTTACAGTATATAAATAATTATAGGCAATTGTTAATATAAAAAGACCATGTTGTATATATTTGTAACGATAATATAATAATAATGAAGCTTTCTTAAATATCCAATATACTGTATAACTCAGGTTGATAACAAACAGCAATAACGTTTTTTACAATTATAGGGTTAATTTAATTAATCAAACACGCATTAAAACGATTTGTCAAAAATTGCCATTTTGAGACGTCATCGTTATGAAATGTCAATAATTTAGGTTATGTATAAGAAAATCACGACTGTGGTATTAATTCTATTAACTCTGTAAAATTGATTCAACATATCTAATTAATGCTTTTCGGATTTGATTTTGCTTTTTTAAATTTTGTGAATTAAGGGAACAAACGGTATATTTCCAGCAAAGCGAACAATTTTGCCCAAGGACAAAGTATTTTTATAAGTTTTTTGCACGTGTACTTGTATTTTTAATTACGCGTTAATTTTTTTGTTTTTCAACCCTTTTGAAAATAAAATGTTAATTTATCAAAATACCCAGCCATTCCATGTTTATTAAGTACCATGTTCCACATCAAAAAGTTACACTTACATTTAAATAATAAATGCTGTCAAATAATTGAGGTTATCTATCTGTCAGTTTAAAGTTAATTTCGTCTTATTACATACTAAAAATAAGGTGAAATCAGCGCTAAACGTTAAAGTGGGACTTTTTGATGTAGATCTACATAGTACATATTTTTTAGTACTTATGCTTTATTTTTATATCAAGCGACTTTCTACATATTATAATCTCAATGGTAAGCAATGCACCAATCAGAGCACAGCATTCTTTATCTCGCCCAGTGTGCTGTGGAGAATGCCGTGCTCCGATTGGTGCACTGCTTTCTATAGAGATCGAGTCGCAAATTTCAAGATTTTGCAAACTTTTGTGTGCTCACAAATTCTATTTTAGTGCGTCAAATATTTTTGTATAAATTTTTCTTTAATTTAGGAAATGTACTTACGTTATTTGAAGAAGCCAAATATTTATTTTTCCAAAGATTTTCTGCCTTAGCGACATAAGGCCTGTTTTTTAGGCAACTTTAAAAAAATTGAAACCCTTTTTAGTAGACTGGCTTTTATTTTACATAATGTAGTTTGTTAGTTGAAAATGGCAGAGTATTTATAATAATTATGTAATTAATTAAAAGTGCTCATTATGTCCAAACTAGTCACTATCTAAGTTAAACATTTTGCAATGTTTTTGTATTACTTTAGAATCCGAATCTAAAGTTTAGATATATGCTTCACACCTTAATTTTTTATTGGAAATGTGTGATTTTATTACAGGGTGATCAAAAGAAAACACTCTGTATGTGTTGTAATTCACTGTTTGGTTTTAAGAAACCACAAATTATTATGAAGATTTATTTATGTATTATTTTTTTGATTTATTGCATACCAAATCAATATATTGTTAGACTGAATTTAAACTTTTTAAAAATGCACAATTTTTTAAAGAAACTTTGTTTTATTTATTATACAACCTTACATAAGTAAAATAACTAAATAAAATTATTCAACAATCCTAAAAATTAAATAAATTTACATTTCATTAAATATCAAACAAAAATTTGCATAAAGCAACTATGACTGTCAAAGTTAGTGACATTATCAATACCAACTGTCAATTTTCTGTCGGCCATTGTTTTGTTTTATCTGTCAAAGGAACAAAAATCACCCTCATTAGGGTTTTTCTGGATATTGAACCGTCGGCCATTTTTTCGATTTGTTCCAGTTGTTGATTACCCCTTGCAGTTCCCACAGGAATAATTAATCGACCCCCTACCTAAAAACAATTTACCTTTAAAACGATTTTTCAAAAATCGCCATTTTGAAACGTCACTGTTATGAAATGTCAATCATTTAGGTTATAACCTATATACATATATGTATAAGAAAATCACAGTCTTATATAAGAATGTTGTATTAATTTTATTAACTCTATAAAATTGATTCAACATATCTAATGCTTTTCGGATTTGATTTTGCTTTTTTAAATTTTGTGAATTAAGGGAACAAACGGTATATTTCCAGCAAAGCGAACAATTTTGCCCAAGAACAAAGTATTTTTATAAGTTTTTGCACGTGTACTTGTAATTTTTACTTATGCGTTAATTTTTGTTTTTTCAACCCTTTTTGAAAATAAAATGTTAATTTATCAAAATACCCAGCCATTCCATGTTTATTAAGTACCATGTTCCACAGCAAAAAGTTACACTTACATTTGAATAAGGAATGCTGTCAAATAATTGAGGTTATCTATCTGTCAGTTTAACGTTAATTTCGTCTTATTACATACTAAAAATAAGGCGAAATCAGCGCTTAACTAATGTCAAAGTGGGACTTTTTGATGTAGAGCATAGTACATATTTTTTAGTACTTATGCTTTATTTTTATATCAAGCGACTTTCTACATATTATAATCTCAATGGAAAGCAATGCACCAATCAGAGCACAGCATTCTTTATCTCGCCCAGTGTGCTGTGGAGAATGCCGTGCTCTGATTGGTGCATTGCTTTCCATAGAGATCGGGTCGCAAGTTTCAAGATTTGCAAAGTTTTGTGTGCTCGCAAATTCTATTTTAGTGCGTCAAATATTTTTGTATAAATTTTTCATTAATTTAGTTTCCGTTATTTGAAGAAGCCAAATATTTATTTTTTCAAAGAGTTTAGCGACATATGGCTTGTTTTTAGGCAACTTTAAAAAAATTGAAACCCTGTTTAGCAGACTGGCTTTTATTTTGCATAATGTAGTTTGTTAGTTGAAAAATGGCAGAGTATTTATAATAATTATGTAATTAATTAAAAGTGCTCATTATGTCCAAACTAGTCACTATTTAAGTTAAACATTTTGCAATCTTTTTGTATTACTTTAGAATCCGAATCTAAAGTTTAGAAAGATGCTTCACACCTTAATTTTATATTGGAAATGTGTGATTTTATTACAGGGTGATCAAAAGAAATCACTCTGTATGTGTTTTAAGAAACCACAAATTATCAAGATTTATTTATGTATTAATTTTATGATTTATTGCATACCAAATCAACATATTGTTAGACTGAATTTAAACTTTTTAAAAATGCACAATTTTTTAAAGAAACTTTGTTTTATTTATCATACAACCTTACATAAGTAAAATAACTAAATAAAATTATTCAACAATCCTGAAAATTAAATAAATATACATGTCATCAAATATCAAACAGAAATTTGCACAAAGCAACTATAACTGTCAAAGTTAGTGATATTATCAATACCAACTGTCAATTGGCGGTTGGCCATTGTTTTGTTTTATCTGTCAAAGGAACGTAAACCACCCCCATGATGGTTTTTCTGGATATTGAACCGTCGGCCATTTTTTCGATTTGTTCTAGTTGTTGATCCCCCCCTGCTGGGCCCACAGGGATAATTAATCGACCCCCTACCTAAAAACAATTTACCGCATGTTTTCTTTTGAGTTTTACAATATTTTTGACAATTTTTGGGTTTTGGTCGGTATTTTGAGTAGTATTGACATTTTTAGGTAAATATGACAGAAAATACTTACTTTTAATTGATCAACCAAAGGTTCTGGAAGAGTGGGGGCTGCTGCCCCAACGTGTATAGCATCATAGGGCCCCATTTCGGCATAACCCAACCTACCATCTCCCTTAACCAACAAAACTTGCCCGCTATCCAGTAAATCTGGATTATCACTCCGGATATTGTTATTAGCCATATCCACAAGCTCTTTAATGTGATCTATACCTACAGCCACCCTATAAAACAAAACGATAACACACACAACTGAGCAATTTATAAGAATTACCCCTTTGGTCCTAAAATTTTAGACATACAAGCCGTCAGGTAACCACTACCAGAACCGACATCCAAAGCCCTTGTGCCCCTCACCAAATGCTCTCTTAACAACTCCAAAGCATGGGCGTGCATGTGAGGAGCCGATATGGTAACCCCGTAACCTATACCCTGAGGACTATCCATATAAGGCGAATTTCTCGAGTAATGACCCCTATCAACCCCCGACATCGCCGCCTCCACTACATCGCTCTTAATTATACCATTTGCTGCAAAAAAACACTTTTATTGTTTGTTATTGTATTTTTTAAGGTTAGGTTCATTTACCTTTTAAATTCCTCACCATATCGGCATTGGATTTGCCGTGAGAACGCCAAGCCATCGCAAGAAGAATTAATATCACCAAACGTTTAATTTTGATGGATTTTATACTACAAAAACATAAAATTACTTTTTAATATTACAGGAATCTGCACTGTCAATTTCATAGTATAAAATTTCTACGTCAAAAATTTGTATAGTCTGTGTTTTGTAGTAAGGAGAAAAGAATTTTAATTTAGTATTTATTGAGATATAAGGCGATTTAGTGGAATGTGTTTTACAAAAGCTTTGTTATATTTATTTATTTTAGTGTTCTGATATAAGTTATTTAATATTAATGGTTATTTCAGAACAAAAATCGACGAATTTGACAAAACAGACTATATACTATTTGTTTTTCTAAAATCGCAGTTTTTTCATCCAAGGCCAATATATAAAAAAACTGTTGTGTTTAAAACATTCTTTTTCTGTTTAGAGCGGTTTTTACTTAAAATACTTACCTATTAAAAAATATATCAAAGCGTATTGGTTTTGATATGAGGCACATAGGTTTTTTATATTAAATATGAATTTTTTAGCATAATCTAAATAAAAACGTAAAATTTATCATTAAAATGATTTATTAACTTACATAAAAACGGCATTTGTGGTAAATTTAAATATTTTAGGGACATTTATCGGTAAAATTTACTACCAACGTAAAAAAAACTCATAGACAAATAAAACAAAGTAAACGTTAAACCGATTTAGCACATTTAAAACTACGAATTAATAAATAGTATTAAAGAAAACCGTAAAAAATATTTTTTCGCAGACACACACGTATCAACATTATTAATTTTTGAAGTTTGAAAGTATTTTATTGTGTGCGGTCTCTCTCTATTTAGGTATGTCGTTGGTAGTGACGTCTAATTAGTTTTTGTTATCATGGGTTATTTCACATCTGTCAAAATGCGATAATGGAGAACTTTTGTGTGTTAATAGTGTTATTCGCACACATTTTTAACTTAAACGTAATGGATTAGCCTTTAAAAATATGGTGAGCTTAAATAACGTGTTTTCATCCCAGCTTGTGGCCTTAATAAAATTAATTTGAATGGACATAACCAAATCTAGCTATTGATGTTGTCGTTTTTGTCGTGTTTTACGCTGTTTCCGTTTGTTTTAGGGTGCGAATATATCCCAGTTGGAGAGAGACATAGGTTCTGAGCAGTTCCCATCTAACGAGCACTATTTCGGTTTGGTTAATGTAAGGAATACAAATTGTCACTAATTAGAGGTATTAATTGTTGTTTTTCAGTTTGGCAATACGTGCTACAGTAATTCAGTGCTGCAGGCGTTATATTTCTGCAAGCCATTCAGGGAGAAGGTTTTAGAGTACAAGGCTAAGAATAAACGTACTAAAGAGACTCTGCTCACATGCCTGGCCGATTTGTTTTACAGTATTGCCACTCAGAAGAAAAAAGTAGGAAGCATAGCACCAAAAAAGTTTATAGCAAGGCTAAGAAAAGAAAAAGGTGAGTGTGTTTATTTGTTTATTTGGTTGCAGTATTTATTTTCTTTTTTCAGAGGAATTTGACAATTACATGCAACAGGATGCACACGAGTTTTTAAATTTTTTGATAAACCATATTAGTGAGATAATTTTGGCCGAACGGCAGCAGCAGCAAACCAACAGTACCACCAACAATGTAAATAAATCGAATAGTAAGGCGCCCGGGGAGAATGGCACTACGCACGCTAACGCGCCGGATCTCACCTGGGTGCACGAAATTTTCCAGGGGATTTTGACCAGCGAGACGCGCTGCCTGAACTGCGAAAATGTCAGCAGCAAGGTAAGCGGCACTTATTTTATTTTGGAATTAAAAGTCATTAAACAAAAAAGCTTTTAAATTGGTTATTTAGTATATTTTTTATAATAATTTTATGGCCTGCAAAATAAGATTTATTTAATTTTGCAGAATTGAAAATTTTTACTGGAATAAAATTAGAGTATGACATTGAAAAATGGTTTTGTATTTTTTTCTAAAAAGAAAGTTAAAGAACAAAAGTTTCTTAAATTGTTGGGTTTTTGAGAAAAAGAGCAATTTTTTTTAAAAATTTTCATGGGTTAGAAAAATATTATATAGGTATATTTTTTTCTTAAAAGTAAATTAAAGAACAAAAAATTAAAAAAGTCTCATTTAGTCAATTTTTTTAATAATGTTGGGTTTTTGAGAAAAAGGGCCATTTTTTTGAAAACTTTTTTTTTGGTGTGGTAAAAAAACTGAAAAATTCTGAGAAATTTTTAGTGGGTTAGAAAAATATAAAAAAAATCAGCCAAACCAAAAAGAAGTCGATTTTTCGTGGAACAACCCATATGTATTAAAAATTGTAATTAAAATTGCGATATTTCAACTGAAATGCAAAAACCAGAAAAACAACAAAAAAACCGGATGGTAACATTTCATCATTGGTTATGTAATTAAACTAGAAAAAAATATTCATATTAATTAATTTGTAGCTTAATTTATCTACTTTGGTTTGGTAACAAAAAATTGAAAATTCTAAATTTTTTTTTTAAATTTATTGTGTTAGAAAAAGATAAAAAAATCAGCCAAATCAAACAACTGAAATTTAAAATTTGATTTTAAAAGCAAAAGAAATTTATGTATGGGCATTTTTATATATAAAAAAATTAAATGGCAAAAAGTTTATGGTTTAAAAAAAATTTGAAAACTCATAGAATTTGACATTCATAAAATGTTTTGTATTTTTTTCTTAAAAGAACAAAAAATTAAAAAAGTCCTATTTGGTCATTTTTTTTAAATGTTGAGTTTTTGAGGAAAAAGGGCCATTTTTTTTGAAAACTTTTTTTGGTGTGGTAAAAAATTTTGAGAAATTTTTAGTGGGGTAGAAAAAGATAAAAAAATCAGCCAAAGCAAACAAGTGGAATCAAAAATTTGATTTTAAAAGCAAAAGAAATTTATATATGGGCCATTCCACGCCAAATCGACAATTCAGGATAATTCGCAGAATTAATCAAAGTTTTTTTATATAAAAAAATACAAATGGCGAAAAATTTATGGGTTAAAAAAAATTGAGAAATGGAATTTGACATTAATAAATTGTTTTGTATTTTTTCTTAAAACTAAATTAAAGAACAAACATTTTAATTTTTTTAAAATTGTTGGGTTTTTGAGAAAATTCTGAGAAATTTTGAGTGGGTTAGAAAAATATAAAAAAAACAGCCAAATCAAAAAAACGTTTGATTTTTCGTGGAACGACCCATACATATTAAAAATTGTAATTAATATTGTGATATTCCATGTGAAATGCAAAAACCACAAAAAAAAACAAAAAAACCTGATGGTAACATTTATAACTATTCTTAATGTAGCTATGGGTATTAATAAAAGTGAAACAAAATATTTGCTTTAATAAATTTTTAGATTCATTTATCTACTGTCTGTCCACTCTAAGTTGGCGGAACTAAGGAATTTTGTAGTTTAGATATTAAAGAATTGTCGTACTGTGTGCTTTTAAAACAGATTTTATATTATAAATAATACTAGTACATATTATATACTAGTATTATTTATAATATAAAATCTGTTTTAAAAGCACACAGTACGACAATTATTTAACCCTTATGCAGGCGCACCTCTTTATGCAACGTATACGTTGCATACTACTACTATACTATAGTAGGTCGCGCGGGGTGTCAGAGACACCCCTGATGGCAAAGCGTCCCTGAGTGTTATTTACATTTTTTTTGTTTTTTTTTCAAAGTTATCAAGTTAAGATGAGCTTAGAGACAATGAGAACATATTTTGTTGCGTTCAAATTTGATAAAAAAAAAAGAAAATGTCAAAAGACGACAATTTTAATAAAATAAAGCATTTATTTAAAAACCACAAATTTTAAAATTCATAATAATAATAAAAACCAAAAAAAAAACACTAAGCACGTAAGATAAAAAAATTCTCATTATTGCCAAGGACGAGGACTTCATAGACCTGCAGGTGGACATTGAACAAAACACCAGTATTACGCACTGCTTGCGGTGTTACAGCAGCACCGAAACGTTGTGCAGCGACAACAAATTCAAGTGCGACAACTGCTCCAGCTACCAGGAGGCGCAGAAACGCATGCGCGTGAAAAAACTGCCAATAATCCTCGCGCTGCACCTGAAACGGTTCAAGTACGTCGAGCAGTACAACAGACACATCAAAGTCTCGCATCGGGTCGTCTTCCCCCTGGAGTTAAGGCTGTTCAACACGGTAAATACCGATTTATAGATTGCCTTCCGTCCTCCCGTACATCTTTTACGGGAGGAAGGAAGGAAGGCAATCTATAAATCATTTTTTTTTTTTTTTTTTTAGTCTGACGATGCAGTTAACCCGGACAGACTTTACGATCTCGTCGCGGTGGTAATACACTGCGGCAGCGGTCCCAATCGCGGCCATTACATCAGCATCGTGAAAAGTCACGGGTTTTGGCTGCTCTTCGACGACGATCAAGTCGATGTAAGTGAATTTTTTTATTTTCATTACTTTACACGTCTATGGTTTATTTTCTATGTTTTCCATGTCTATGGTTTTGTCTATATTTTTTTCGTCTATGGTTTATTTTTCTGCCTTCTATGTTTTATATGTCTATGGTACAAGAAAACAAAGTGTGTTCTGGTAATTTAAATATTATTCTCTTATAATATAATTTAAATATTATTCTCTTATAAAATTTTTAATAACATTTCATGAAAATATTAATGAAAAAAAACTACTTATTTTATAGTTTTTCAATCAAATAAAATATATTGTTTTAAAGTAAATAATATTTACTAAATACCAAATAAAATAAATACAAAAATTGACAAGGAAAATTTAATTTTTGTTTTTAGGTTAAATGTTTTAAATAATGGATTTTCAAATAAAATATCCTGTTTTAAAACAAATTTCTATAAAATTATTCGACTTTTAGATTAAATTGTCGAATAATTTAAAGACATTTATAACATTTTTAATAACATTTCAAGAAAATATTAACGAAAAAAAACTATTTTATAGTTTTTCAATCAAATTAAATATATTTTTTTAAAGTAAATAATTTTAACTAAAAACCAAATAAAATAAATAAAAAAAGTGCCAAGAAAAATTTAATTTTAGTTTTTAGGTTAAATGTTTTAAATAATGGATTTTCAAATAAAATATATTGTTTTAAAGCCATTTATATGTGAAATGTTTCCAATAAAATAAAATATACTGTTTTAAAACAAATTTCTATAAAATTATTCCATTTTCAGATTAAATTGTCGAATAATTTGAAGACATTTGTATAACATTTTTAATAACATTTCAAGGAAATATTAATGAAAAAAAACTATTTTATAGCTTTTCAATCAAGTAAAATATATTGTTTTAAAGTAAATAATATTTGCTAAAAACCAAATAAAATAAATAAAAAAATTGACAAGAAAAATTTAATTTTAGTTTTTAGGTTAAATGTTTTAAATAATGGGTTAACAAATAAAATATATTATAATTTATTAATAAACCAAATAAATATTATTCTTTATATAAAGAATGAAATGAAGTGTCAAGTTACAATCTTCATTAACATTGCAAGAAAAATGTAAACAACAGTTTTTTTTTATTTATTTATTACAAAATTTTTGTTATGGACTGTCCTTGAAGATCATTAACTTCCTTGTCTTGGCACATTTTCTGCACAGTGCAAAAAGAAAGATTTAATTTTGATGGTTTTGTCCTATTTCTTGTACACGTGTACAGTACTGTAAAAAATAATTTATATTGTTTTTATCAATTTTATTTTAAATTCTTACCTACTTGAACTGTATCCACTTTAAAGACTTTTTTATGGAAATGTAGTTTATATTTTTTTGATCCAATTGCTGCTATTTAATTGTTTTTAAAAGAAATCTACTTACTCTCCTTAACATCAATTTTTTCAAGCCCATACTAAGGAAATGTATTGGATTTCCAGTTTTTTTCTTTTGGCATTGTTTTTAGATTTTCACGCATAAAACTTTAAAATAGCTTAAAAAATACTGTGTTAAAAAACAGATGCTCAAGAACGTACCTTGTTTTTTTGTACCATGCGTATACCGGGTGTTAAAAAATCACGCGTTTTTTTAGAAAATCGACGCGTCGACCATCGAAGACTTTTACGGGCTGACGTCCGACACGCAAAAATCGTCGGAGACCGGTTACATCCTGTTCTATCAGAGCCGAGAGAATTTATGAGTGACGATGGGTTGTTTATCACGACTTGCCTTAATTATAAAATAACAAATAACAAAACAAATGACGTTGCGGCAACAAATCGCGCAGGCGGCGCGCCACGCCCCCTCCGTTTCACCGTGTTTTGTTTCGCAATGAAAGCACACACAACTGCGATGCGCATGCTTGCAATAAATCAAATGAAAATCGGGTGAGTTGATTTTTGTTACAAAGGGCATACCAAACAAAAAAATAAACATTTTTTGATTTGAAATTTTTGTTTTACCAAAAAAAATATATTTTAACATTATTTGTATACACACACACTTTTTTTCACTGCGTGTCCATTTTTTGACACTCCGTATTTTAATGACGTGTTGATTCATTGCAAGTAGCGACTAAAAGCAATTTTGTAAATATTGATACGAAAAAGTCCTAATTTATTAGTTTATTTCGTTGTTATCGCCCATTTCGGGCCATAAATGTGATTGGTATTGAAAATTATACAAATTACAAGAAATACTGTAAATATCAATACTTTTTTTCACGTTTTTCGTACTAATTATATAATTACTTTTTATTTTAAGAAGGTTTTATTTTTTTTTCTTGTCAATCAAAAATTAGAGGCTGTCCTAGAAATTTTTGAGTTTTGAGGCGTAGAGCTTCGAAATTTTTTGAAACGGTGAATTTTACTTGTGACATTTATTTATTTTTACTAATTTTCCGAGAAATAAGTAAAATTCACTTTATATAACGATGTATTTTACATCTTTTTATGAATTGTTCAAAATACCTAGAGCATTATTTTATTACTGCTAAGCAGATTTTATTTTGTAAATATTCGTTAGATATAATATAAATAAAATGATAAATATTACTAAATAGTTTTATTTCAAACAATACTATAGTCATTGTTACCAACCATAACATAATACATTAAATTAGGCAACCAGATTAGCCTAAAGTTCCTAGTTACATTAATTACATAACCCTGTATATCATTTTTACTTAAGCTCTGGATTATGTAGTAAAGTTCCATTGGTACACCTAACATACTTTACAACTGCTACGGTATTTTCTGGATTGGCCAGGGAATACGGGAATGTTTCCATTCCATTACATGCCGCCCCAATTTCACCTTTTTTGGAAACTGCCACTACTGCTCCAAAGAAATCGGGGGTATTTCCGTGCTATTCTATGAATTGCCATTTTTGCTGCTTTTGAGGGAGAAGCGCCGTTTCTCATCAGTTCAACACTCAAAAAGCTGCAAAAAAGTTTTTTATTTTATTAAATTCTACAGTTCATTTTTTAAAATCTGGAATCGAGTTTTTTTATTAAGTTGGTAGCTTATGCCAGTTTGATTTAGTATTTTTAGTTTTTTAAAATTGGTACTTCTTCTGAAGACTTTAATTAAATACTCTAACACTGTTATGGACATTTTTGGAGTAAAAAAGTAACGTTTTTGGTATTACAAATATTAAATCACACATTATTTTCAGCCAAGCGGATCAAAAAATTTTGAAATTTTAAAAAATAAGAAGGAAATATAAAAACAAAAAATAAAAATTATTTGCTGTTAACCACAATTACATCATAGATGACCGATGACTAGTTTAGTTTGTTTTAATCAATGCAACCAATTTGCGTTCCATATTTACCAACCAAACCCCTAAATTTGCAACGTTGCCAGATAGTCCAGATAAAAAAATGAATTTTATCAAAAAAGTATCTTTAAACTTACCTTGGCAAAAATCGCATCATAATATCACCGTCACCAGTGGCAACGGCAGCTCCTACGTCATTATCTGCATATGCACCAGCGCCTGGTATTGGACCATCACCAACACGTCTAAAAAATTGTTAAGTATATCAAAAGAAACATTATTTTCATAAAAAAAGTCGTATTGTATACTTCAAGGTATATCCATGTTTTGTATATCAGATATAACCTTAAAGCCTGATTTATAGATTGCCTTCCGCCCGTAAAAGATGAGCAATACGAAAACCGTAGTGCTGTTTATAGATTCCCGTCCGGGAATCTATAAATCAGGCTTAAGTAAAAAATTACCCAGGTATTTTGTGAGTAGCTCCGTTAGTGGAGGTACCTGCTACAACATGCCCGTTACTATTAACGACAATCATCCCTATGGTGTCATGATTTTTATCGCCGAAAACACTATTTCCGCCATCCTTGGTAATTTCATTGGTTGCGTATATGTAGGGACCGCAATTTTTAGTTGGATCTGGGTGCACATTCTACAAAGTCAAAGAAACGTCATTTTAACACCCTTTAAACGTCAAAGTGACACTACCTGCCAAAAGTTGGGCTGACAATTATTCTTTTTCCAGTCCTCATACATTTTTGTGGAATGATTCGTCGATAAGGTTTCTTCACGCTCCAACATCATTTTGGCGAAATCCGTTGCCAATCTCCCGCCAAAATCGAATGTTTCGTGTTTAGAAGAACATGCCTTGCCACGCCCACTGCGTTTTTAATCCTTCTAAGGTTGGCGACTGCGCCCATGTCCATGGTATTTCCTAAAATAAAGTTTTGGGCTTACATGGGTGATAAAAATCATGCTGAAAGTTAATAACCCGTCAAAAATCATAGCGTCTAAAGTGGTTTCGCCATTTTCGTCAGGGCTTCCCCCAAACCCAACTGTACCATCACATTGTTCCCTCTCGCAGGCACTGCAACCTTCCAAAAGGGCCGTCACCGATAAATCGCCACTGCCCTGAACGCTTAAAAACTTTCCATGCTAAAAAAATATGCAATTAGTAGGTATTTTATTTTAAAAAAATTATCACCTTGCTGTGCGGCCGTATTGAAATTCCACGTAATTCACAACCAAAGGAACGTTAATACTACGCGCTAAAGTACTAATTAGTACTAAAAAACGCAAAATTTCGAATCATCCTAAAATAATAACATTCTACATGTTGTTATGTCATTGGGATTTGTCTATGTTTTTAAATGTCAATAGTATCATCTGTCAATAGTAGATAACCTTACTTTTTCCGAAATCTTGAAAATGTAATTTCTTTGTTTATTATTGTTGATTTACAACAAAATAGTTATTATTTAATTGAAACTTTACTATATCTATAATACAAACCTATTAATAGAAGTTAAAATAGTGTACCTGTGATAAAATGCAAACACAAAACTTCTACACTGTTCTAAAGTGCAATACAAGTGCAACTCACGAAGAATTAAAAGAGTCTTATCAGAAACTTATCAAACAACACCACCCTGATAAAATTCACTCCAAAACATCGCAACCAGAAACCACAAGCGATACTTTTATTGAAGTTGATAAGGCCTGGAAAATTTTAAAAGATGAATCAACTAGGAAACAATACGACGCAACGTTACTGCAAAATAGTTTCAACGAACGGACTTTAATACACGCCGAAATAAGCAAAAACGAGCTAAGTTTTCAAGGGGGTGAAGCAAAATATTGCTGCAGGTGTGGAAATGACATTATCATATTACAAGAGTATTTGGACGATGATGAGTGCGAAATTGAGTGCTCCGAGTGCTCTAATTGTATAGTTATTAAATAAAAACGTTAAAAAAACATTGTTTTTGTCTTTGTTTATATGAATTATCAAAAGAAATCATCAAATACATATGCTGATGGTAGGCAACCTAGTTACATTCAAACTACACTGCAGTTGGCAGTCCTGTTCTAGAATATTTTTATTCAAAGAATTGAGTGCTCTAATTGTATAGTTATGACATTGAGTAAGATGTTTCCTTGGTCAATGGTTATGAAATAAAAACGTTAAAAAACATTGTTTTTGTCTTTGTTAACATGAATTATCTTATAAGGATCATTGAACTCGTAGGCAACCCAGTTTACATTTAAACTACAGTGCAGTTGGCAGTCCTGTTCTAGAATACATGTGTTTTTAGGTTATGTAGCATTCAAAAAATGTCAAATATACGGAAAACTATTGTTTCCAACTGCGAAAAGAAGTTTTTAACGAAAAGTTTGGGGGATTGGGTGGTAAATATTTAATAGTTTGACCTTATACAACCTATTTTAACTAATTAAATTGATTTATAGAGGATTGATGGAAGGGCTTTTGATGAATTTCGTAAAATAGACATCAATTTTGGTAAAGATTGGGGATGTTGTTTTGTTTCCTTGGGAAAAAACGAAGTAAATATACATTATTTGTAATAAAACAGTTATTATAATTGATTTTTAGGGTTGTAGCTCAGGTTTCTTGTGAAGTACAAGTGCCTAAATCGTCTAGACCCAGTGAAGGCATTTTAAACATTAATATTGAGTTAAATCCAATAGCAGCGCCTAATTTTGAGGCTGGCAGGCAGTCAGATTTATCGGTGCAGTTAAATCGACTTCTTGAGAAGTGTATAAAGGATTCAAAAGCTGTTGATTTGGAATCTTTGTGTATAAAAGCTAACGAGAAGGTTTATTGCTATTTTTGTGTATATTTCAGGAATGTAATGTTGTGATTTAGGTGTGGGCTTTCAGAGTGGACGTGAACGTGTTGAATCATGAAGGTAACATTTTAGATTGTGCTTCAGTGGCTGCTCTAACGGCTCTGGCGCATTTTCGTAGACCTGATGTAACTTGTGATGGGGAGGAGTTTATTGTCCATACTTACCAACAAAGAGACCCTATTCCCACTGTAATACACCACTACCCTGTCTGTATTACTTACGCCATTTTTGATGGAGGGTATGATTAAAAATGATTTTGAGGTTCTGAATCATTGGACTTTTTAAAAAATATTTAATACATCAAATATAATTTGAATCTTCTAAAAACACAATTTTTTGTTTTTTTTGTTCAATGTTCATGGTTTGACATTCTTTAATATTTTTTCCAAATGCTTTTTTCACTTTTAGAAATATTTTGTTTTATAGATTTTTTTTTTTTGACATATTATTTTTTTAGAGAGTATGTATTGGCAGATCCAACATATTTAGAGGAGGGGGGTTGCAGATGCATTCCTTAGTGTTGGTTTGAATGCATATAAAGAGTTATGCGGATTACATTTAGGGGGAAAGTCTGAATTAGCTGTGGATAATATTTTACAAACTACGAATAAAGCTGCAAACCATGCGGGGAAAAATTGTGGCGCTAATAAAAGAAGCTATAGAAGCAGACAACAAGAAAAGATCCTCGAAGGAACCAATCAGTTTTCATCAAGAAATACAGCTCGATACTTTCGATACAAGTGAGTTATCGAGTTGTCTTGATCAGTGGTCTACAAAACATAAAAAAAACAAAAAGAAGAGTGAAAAAGTTGAAAAACCTCAAGACATAAAAATTGAGGTTTTTGATAAGGGTTCGGCTGCTTTGGTGACAAGTGAAGTTAGTAACAAGGAAAAGTGGGGTTCTGATGAGGAGGAAGAAGAACCTGAAGTTAAAATTATAGAAACACCTGGTACTAAGACAAATATTTTTTTTAAATTTTTTACAAGGTACATATAAATCTTTTTAGTTGAAACCATGACTATAGACTCAGATGGCAGCGAAGAAGATGCAGTGGTGGTACTGAATGCAGACCAAAAAACAAACAAAAAGAAAAAAATACGAAAATAATAATAATGTAATTTTTTAATAAAGTTTTATTATAATGTACAAAATTATTATAACACTATCTCTATTTCTATCCAAACTTAATTATTCTTGCTACCGGCACAATACAAAGATAATTTGTAAAAAATAGAAATTGTTAAAAATTCTTAGGTTATGTTATTTCTGCCAAACTTTGACACATAACCTCACATATTTAAATATTTGACATCGCACTGACTGAAGAAGAAAAAGTTACTGACTAGTTTGTGTTTAGGTAATTAAACAATAAAATTAATAAAAAGAACAGTAGCAAAATAAATTAAAATGGTCCACAATATTATAAAGCAATTTAAACACTTCCAATAACAAAATTATTGCACATAAAATAAATTAAGTCGCCTCGTTAATACCATTCTTTTGATCGAGTTTATTGCTGTTCGTTTTAACTGTGTAAATAAAGAAAGTAACGACGTCTTTCTCCTTCACAGGAATCGTTTTGAAATGTTTCATTATCGTCTGCAAAAAAAATTAATAATACTAAATAATAAACAATAATGGTAATGCTTACATCAGCTAATTGTGCCTTGTTAAGTCCCTGCCTCATCGGCACTTTAAAGTGCCTCTTATACCTCCTCAAAGTATTAACTTGCAACTGATAAAGATCCACTTCGGGCACATCAGTATCGGTCTCGTTGCTATCATCCTCCGAATCCTTGCGTCTTCTTTTTGTTCTTGCACACTGAATTATCATTTTGTGGAAGTCGCAGATGTAAATATGCCTTGCCTGTCACAAAAATAACACGAATATCAGTTAAAATGTGCTTGGTTGCTATGGCAGACATTTTGAGTTTAATAAACGTCAAACAGTTATTTGTCACAACTTTGTTTTGTTACCATGACGACGGGGGCAATTTACAGTCATGGCAAGCTTAATAAACGTAAGAATGACGTTTGCAGGCAAGGGTGACTAGATTGGAGCAATAAAAGTCTTTTTACTCACGGAATTGTCGATGTTGAGGTTGAGCCTCCTCTGCGTGACCGTTTTCTGTATCCTCTTGCTGTAGCTAGCGTTTCCAGCCGCTTTCGAGCAACGTTCCCCGTTGTCTATCAAACAGCACGTTTGGTCTGTCGGACCCCTTGAATCTTCTTCGCCGGTGCTAAATCCGTTCATCACAATAACAATAACACGAAACTTTCAAGCTGCTTTCGTACTTCCGTTGATCAGCTGTTGTAAACGGACGGCATCTCACGGCGTCGTCCTCGTTGTGGAAAAAATAGGACAATGTTTACTTCCCCTCAACGCGTCACCTCTCCCCTCAAAGAGTAGGCAACCAATCGTACAAAATCGATTATGCCGACAACGCATTTTAAGCTTCAACAATGTGGTTTTCGATGGATAGTTGTTTTATGTGGTGTAATTCATGTTTTTTACCAAATAAATATTAAAACACGTAATACTTTTAACAAAGATTAGAAAATAACTGTCATTTAAAATAAGACGTAGGTTTAGGCAACTAATTTACCGATAATTGTAATTTTGGTGGCCTATCTTAAAGACAAATATTTTTGTTAATGTTTTAATAATACAAAACAAAATAATAAGAAAATTAGCACAACGGAATGTTATATAACCCCAATTTAGTTGTTTTTGTTTAATTTTTAACGATAAAATCGTTTTATAGGACGAAAAATAAATATAAGCAGTGTTGTCAGTTGTTTTGTAATTTCCATAATTAGCGCTATAAAACTGTGTTATAATAAAAAATAATACCAAAAAGTCAACAATTAGAGGATAAAGGTTTTCATTCGCAATAAAATTACTTTATTGAGGCAAAGTCTGTGTATTTGGGAAAAGCGCATCGATGGCAACGCCGCAAATCACTTTTTCTAGTGGGGCGTGCGGTGTGCGGCAGTCGAGCGATTTCGTCTTAGTGACGCACACGTAATCTGTGATTTGTTGTGACATTGTTTTTCGGTGTTTTTTGTTTATTTCCCGGCCTCCTTGCCATGCCAAAGTTAAAAGTGCTCTGAAATAAGTGCCCGTCGCCGTGCTCGCGTCGATTGTTTTTCTGTGCTCGAATTGTTCGGAATTTGTGCTTGAAAAGGCCTTAAAGTGACTCTATTTTGCGTGCCTCGTCAAAAACGATCATCTCAAGGCGATTGTGTAAGTTATCAAACGAATTTGAACGCTTTACGCCCGCATGTGCCCGTAAATACCGTTTTCCAAACGTACAGTTAACTTGTATGAGGTTTGCGCCAACTTTACAAGCCCGACAAAGTTATGGGTTAGTCGTTTTTTTGCATTTCCGGCGTCCACTCAGCTTCAAGAAAGCATTCGGCAACGTCTTACATCACCCAGATCACTACAACCTTTTTTGCTTAAAAGAATCACGATTTTAGACAGTTTAATTTGACGTTTGACGCAAAGATTTTGACAGTATCTTGACGTTTCTAAGAGTTCTAGTAATAAATAACATGTATTTGTGATTGTTACATGTACTGTGAATAATTATACATGTAATTAACGCCTACTTATAATGATTAAACAACAATAGATTTTCTTTTTGCAACATTTGACAGACAAATTTGAAGTTTAAAGCAAAATCAAAGGCGACTATGCAGAAAAAGAATTTTTTACAGTATTTGACTTTAAAGTCTAATAATTACATGAAACCGTATTGTGCAGTAATAATAACTATAAATTATAGTTAACGTTACTATAATTAATTGTTAGTTCTCATGATTAAACAAAAATAACAGTTTTTAACTGTGGGTTTAATATGATTGAATAATTATTTTGTTCTAAAGTTCGTAATATTATTGTTTCGCGATATTTCAAAGGATATATGGGTTTATTTAGAGGATAATTAAAGGAAATCCGGTGCAATTATATATATATATATATGTTATATTAAATGCGGGTTAAAAAAACCAATAATTTCTACTTGATTAGGTTTAGTGTTTGATAAAGTAAACACTGCGGGCTTTTATCTAAGTAGGTATAAGGAAAGTGGTGACTTTCTATTTTTTTAAATTTGTGAATATTTTTTTATTTTAAGTGGTGTAACCCTGATTTTAATCGTCATGTTTTTAGAGGATATCCTTTATTAATGCACAAAATAAGGTGTTATTATCGCTTTAAGGTTGTTTTTTGCATATCACTAAAATGCATCTATTTTATGAATTTAAATGACTTTTTTAATGTTTTATAGTTTATAAACAAATTATATTAGTAGGTTTTGTCCTTGAATATAATTATAGGTTATGTAGGTATAACAATTACCTACTTGTGTATGATAGGTACCTATTTTAAGGAAAACAATGCTTTTAATTATAGCCTATTATTAATTATTCTATTAAATTTTAAATATTGTGTAGCTATGTAATAAAATAATAGTTTTTAGCGTTTTTTTAAATTAATTAATTAAATAAGTGAAAAATACGAAACAAACTTGACAACAAATTTAAAGGCTAAATTTTCGGTTCCCGGTAGGTATGCCAAACATTTCTTCTAGACTTAAACTTCTTGGAATTCATGGTCTGAGGAATTTGTCTGAGTCACATGTTTGCCGTTGTTTTTTTTTAATTTTATGGGGTCCTTATGAATTCTGTGGTCTTTTCAAAGCTTGCGTTCATGACCGCTTAGTCATCTTGGAAGCACCTAGCGGGCATTCAAAGGATTTTGATATCTTTGCTGGTCTTGAGATGACTACTTCCTTTTCGTTGATGACGTAAAATTGGTATAAAGTGTGTTAAGGGTCCAAAATAATAATACCTTGATGAACTTATTTTTATTTTAATCAATCTAGGTATTTTTAAACAAATATTTCAAGAATCTATTTTTAAATAGATTTTTTGGACTTTTAGCATTTTTCGCCATTTCTTATTTTGGTGTCGTTTTTAAGCAATTTTGTTTTGTTAATAGTTTATCTGTGGTTTTATGACTAGTTTTTATGTAGGTACCAACCTAAATTTTTGACGTTTTGAGTTAATAAAGAATTTAAATTAATCAGCTTTAATATTCACACGTAATAATGGTTGGCCATGGAAACAATTAAAAAAAAGTAGACAGGGTTGCCAGTTTTTTAAATAATCAAGACTTAATTTTAACGTGTTTAGAAAATTGTTTTTCTATAATTTTCTACAAATAAATAGTAAATCATTGTAATAAAACTTTTTTTTGACCAGAAAAAAATGTCACTGGGATGAAAATAATACGTGGACGGCATAGGCCGAGTGTAAACCATTTTGACCGTAGTAGGGTACAAGGTTATGCGATGTTAAGAAGAAGAGCCATCGACCTCTTTTTCTATCCTCTCGTCTTCTTCTTCTTCTACTTCGCGCGCACTAAAATAATCGTCGACGACGATGATGCGCTGTTGCCATGTCGTCGCGTGGCCCTTGTTTTGCGGTTTTTATTTGGTTTTGTGATCCTCCAATAAATTTAACTCAGCTAGCTGATAATATATTTTTAAAGACTTAATACAGTTATGTGCCTACCTACTGTAAATATTAAATGACATCCTGGCTTTTATCGTATACATTAATTAGCATGTAAAACCTTCCATATTTAACAGTTAACAACAAAACCATTTATTAATAATTAAACTTTAAATTTATTGATTTTAATCGAGGAAACGCCCGATACATTTTGCATATTTGATTAACTAACGACATTTTTTAAGTTCAACAAGTTAACTGCCATATTAACTTTGAAAACCTCTGTTAAAGATACAAACATTGTTTACTATTAAAGAACAATGACCCTTAATTCGTAAAAAAACATAATTATTCTATTTAACACCTATTTTGGTACCTATGGTCATAAATATTTATTATATTAATAGTAATTACTTGACAACTAACAATCATTCTTTATTATACCTTTTCAAAAGTGGGTACTTACCACACACAAGTCAAATTTAACCAAAGAAACCACAAAAAACCTCACGATTATTTCATCAAGTACCGTCAATATATTTCTCAATAAAAACATAAATCATCAGATTATTGTTAAGTACCTACCTAAGCCTTATAAATTTTATAAATTAAAATTAATTACTCAAGTATCTATAGAAAAATCAAATAAGGTTAAAATAATTAAAACTACTTAAGTAGAATAGAAAAACAATGCAACATTAAAATCTACAATTAGGTAGTTCAATTTTCCATGAATTAATTTCAATTTATAACTCTGTGATCCGCCAAATTTATTTTTTCATTTAGGTATTTCTCTGCAATTACAAAATTGTTGCCATCACTTTTTTCGTAACGTCTGCGAAAACTGTTACTTTCTCTCTATTGTTTTTAGCATCGAAAATTTCATTGTTTTAGTTCCTTGAGTTTATACAGGGTGTGACAATAAATACAGTACCTACCTGAGCATCAACATTGATTTTTCACAAAATGTTCTATATATGATTTAAAGTTATTTAAAACAATAAAAATATCCGGAGTAATGTAAAATTTAAAAAAATACTGTTATACTGTTTATATTGCATATTGTTTTGGGTTTAATATTAATAATTATGTAAGTAACCAACCAAAAATGGATTTAAAAGATTGTGTTTTATAAGGAAAAGTTTTTTATAAAATATTATTTATTTTATAATTGTAATAACTTACATACACTGCATAATAAGAAAAAAAAATCTAACTCTAAAACCCCTTTTTACTACTTTATACAGGGTGGTTAGAAAAAAGTTTGAGTTGTATAAAATCATCAACATAATTTACCCATAAAAACTCTGGTTTTTGCAATATTTTCTTGTAATTTTCACTTGTAATTTTTCGTGGAAAGACGCATGATATTTTTATCGTTTATTATTCCCGTGTTGATAAATATTTTGGCATGGCATTCATTCATAAACAAGTATTTTAATATCTATTTACTTGTTCTTTTAAGAAACTAAAATTAGCTTCTCCTGGCATCGGTTAATTTAAATATTTGGACTTGGTTTATTTTTACATGTGGTTTCTAATTTCATCGTTGAGTTTTTTCTTATTCAATTTACGTCAGCTGATCATGTATGCGCTAGGAAAAACGGTAATGAAAACTTAATTAGCAAGTAAGCTTTGGTGTACAGTAGTGAAAACCGTATGGTTATTAATTTGAAACGCACACGCATGTTTTAATGTGTAAAATATAATTTTATTATTATTACTTTTGAAGTTATTTTTAACGGAACTTCCGTTGTTTGTTTAACGGGGCGTTAAACGATTTTTCTAATTTTAACATATAGACTTTCGTTTAACATTATTATTATTATTATTATTTATAAAAATAAAATTGTAAA